CGACCTCTGAGGGAGTGGTCCAGGCTGTCCCTAGAGTTCCTGGTTCAAAGCTTTGACTGGGACCCCTCATTTGTCCTATGGACAGTGCCGAGCTGTGGGCGGTGGGTGACACGGCACAGTGAGCGCCTCGTGCAGTCTTGGCCACAAGGTCACTGCCAGAATCACAGTCCTGGCGCTGAGAACGGCGGCCCTGCTGCTCTGAGAGCTGCTCACATTCACGGCCAGTGAGCGGCGCCGAGCACCATGTCCCTCCGCCCACAGTCCTGCCATGAGGGCCTCCCCCAGCTGCCCCCTGTGTCCCTCTTCCCACAGCCCTGCCATGAGGGCCTCCCCAGGCTGCCCCCTGGGCAGCGAGGACAGGATGCCAAGGCTTCACTCCCCAGGGTTCCACTTCTCTAAGTCACTCCTTCAGGTTCCTGCATTCAGACTGGAGAGGCTTCTGGGCCCAGCCTTCCTCCTCAGCCATGTGACCCACTGCCCTGGGGCCCCATAGCCACAGCAGCAGCACAGCTGGATTGGGAGGAGAAATTCTGGGGGTTAAGAAGGTGGGTGTGAGGGGCACCTGCCTGTGGAGACCTGCCTCCCTGGCACATGGTAGTGTCTGGCGCAACCCTCTAGGGAGGACTGATTGCCCTTTGGGAGCTGGGGGAAGCTTCCAGAAGTCCTACTCAGTGTCCCCAGCTGGACACCTCTGCTCCCCTCCAGATCCCTGCAGGCCTGGCTGGCTGGCGTCGGGAGGCCATTCTGCCCTGGCTGTRGTCACCCTTATCCCCACCTGCTGCACAGGTAAGGGAGGGGCAGACACCCAGCTCCTGGCAGCTCCTGCCCCTGGATTCTCGAGTCGTGTCCTGGCCTGTGGGATCTGAGCCTCCCCTGGCTTTGCAGCCTGGCCTGCCCGGATACTGTGCCCCTGAGCCCACAGAAGCGCATGTGGCCCCCTCCACCTGGAATGTTCCCTGGGAAGGGCCACCAGCCGCCCAGAGTGGCTGTTAGCACACTGAAGCATTTTCAGAATGTCAAAGTGCTTTTGAAAATGTAGGGTCCCTTCCTGTGGCAGCTGCCGTGTCCTGTCCTGTCCCACGGATGGATGATGATTGGCCAGACTGATACCCTTGAGTGTGTCGATTAACCAGGAGGGGGTCCTCTTGCGGGGGGCAGTTACTGGTGGCCAGCTGTTCCCCTCCCAGTTCCAGGGCACACCCTGCTGCTTGTTCCCAAGGCAGGGGAGCCCGTAGGAGTGAAGCGATTAGAGGAACTCGGCTCTTGGCTGCTCTGAATGGGCCTCTTTCATCAGGGGATGCTGGACAAGGGCCTTTTTAAGCCAAAATATCAGGGAGAGACAAGAGTGCCACAAGAGCCACTTACTCCTGGGTGGGACCGGCGTCTGAGGAGGATTCGAGCCTGCCAGCCAGCCTCTTGTCGCCCTTCCTGTGTTCCGCACGCGGAGTCGATGGCAGGAGCTCCCTGGGCGCGTGGTGGAAGGGGCGCTGGGGACGTGAAGACGGCAGTCATGAACCTTTTTTATTTGTCTGATTTCTGCGTCTTCCTTCGGCCAACTCAGTACCTCTACCGGTCAGAGGCTTCCAGCCCGAACTAGTACGTATGACCYGCTGGCCTCCCTGCCGCCTGCTCCCCAGAGGGCCCGAGCTGGGTGTGCCTGGGACTGGGGTTCTAGGAGCATCGGTTGAAGGTCTTGTCTGGCTCCCTGCTTTGTAGAAGCCTGTTCTTGTGGACTCTTCCCAAAACGTGTTTGTGTTGCAGAGATCAAGTCCTGAGCCCTGAGGAGGGGAGAGGGGGCACTGGGCCTTTGTTTTTAATCCCTCACCAAGATTTTTCTCAAAGCCAACGAGGAGTCTCCTGTGCGGCCCAGGCCTTCTTTAACTTCAGTCTGTCTTTTGGGAGCACTGAGACTTTTTGTGAGAAGGCCAGTATTTTGGTGGCTGGGATGAGTGGTTGCGGGTTTGTGGCTTCCTTCCCTGAGTACCTTGCAGGCACTGTCCCCTGAGCTGCAGCCCGGCATCACCAAGGTGGATCTCTTAAGGTCCACTTCCCGGCAGGCTGTCTAGGGCTCGATGGCTGGGCATGTGCTGCCCTCAGGGCATCCGCAGAGAACCACACCAAGCCCTGGCTGTAGGGGGAAGTGCCTGTCACCCAGCGGAAGGCACTGGCTGCAGTGAGCTCCGGRCAGAAGCTGGGTCGGGAAGACTTGTGCATCTTGGTCCCATGGATCCGGGCCTGCCCACCCACCCTGCCTGCCCAGCCCTGGGAGTCACCGTGTGTGGGGTCCTCTGCTGTGTCCCAGGACACAGGGTCCTTACAGTCGCAGTCGTGGTCCCCTTGCTCTCTGGGTTCCCCTGCAGGGTTCAGACTCCTCTTTCCAGAGCCCAGGCCCCTCGGCACGGTTCCCTGCTCCTTGACTCCCAAGGCTAAGGTCGCTGTCCGTGGTCGGCTGGCTGCAGCGTGCTGGTCAGTGTGCATCCCCACCCTCGCAGACTCCAGTACAAGCCAGGGATGATGCCCTGAAGGAGTCCCAGCTCTGCTGCTGGCTGCGCTGATGCTGTTTTAATGCCCCCGGGCTGGGAGTCCCTGGCCCAGCGCTTTGAGATTTGGATGAGAATAAGTAGTAAGCGATCCGTGTCTAAAACAGAACGGTTCTGAACACAGACTTTGTTGTAAAGTTCGAGGAAAGGAGACAGTGACAAGATTGAGGGGTAGAAAAATGTCAGGGGATCTGGAAGCAGCTAAAACGAGACAGCCTGGGTGACACATTGGCCACACTGTGCTCAAGAGCATGTGCCTTCTCCCAGGAGAGCGAGCAGAGAAAGGTGCTTCTCCTGCTTTCCTGCTCGCTGGCCCTGGGCTCCGGCTGGAGAGGACCCAGGGTGGCACATACCCACGAGGGCCACTGGAGAAGCGCACGGTGCCTGTGGAAAACGGGGCTGGGACGTGCCCTTTGCCAGCGGTTCAAGGCCGACGTGTGACAGGGGACAGAGGTCTATTGCCTCATGGCCACGCAGGCCCTATTTTTAGCATGAGAACTTAGCCAGAAAAGTTAAAAGATTTGACTGTGGACTTGACCTCATAGAAAATAAGTTTTCCCAGGAGCTKCGACTTGAACGCCAGCTCTTCGCCCTCAGAATGACCCGTTAGGCTTCGCAGGGTTTCGTTTTGTTCTGTTTTATTCCAGGATTACAATATTCAACCACTAACATTAGATGTCTGGGGCAGCAAAAGTGAGCTGACTTCCTCATATTACAGAAAATATCCTTGTATTTCTGCCAGGGATTAATTTGCTTAAGTCTAGGTTCTGGGTTGGTTTTTTTTTTTTTAAGAACTGCTTTTTCTTAAAACATTTTCTGGTTGCTTAAGAAAGAATTGCTGTATTTTTATATTCCTTATCATTTAAACTGTGATGTTTCACAAAATTAATAAAAATGATTTTTATTATAAAGTATCATACATATTTTATATTATTTTGAAAATTAAAAAGAAAAAAACCAGCCACTTAAAAAAAAGTTAATGTGTTCTGGGTGTGGTGGCAAATGCCTGTAATCCCAGTTACTTGGGAGGCTGGAGGCAGGAGGATTGCAAGTTCAAGGCCAGCCTCAGCAACTTGATGAGACCCTGTCTCAAAATAAAATTTATAAAGGGCTGAGGGTATTGCTCATCACTAAAGCACTTGCTCAGAATATGCGAGGTCCTAGGTTCAATTCCCAGTAATTCCCTCAAAAAAAATAATAATAATTTAAAAATAAAAAGGGCTGGGGATGTAGCTCAGTGGTAGAGTAACCCTGGGTTCAATCCTCAGTTACAGGGAGGGGGGCAGATTAAAAGTTAATGTGTGTTTTGTTTGAAAAATTTGGAAAATAGTAAGTAGAAAAAAGATAATCATAGATGGTCCAATCCTTCAAAAACCACTATAGGGACTGAGGATATGGCTCAGTTGGTAGAGTGCTTGCCTTGAACATACAAGGCCCTGGATTCAATCCCAGCACCATTAAAAAAAAAATCATGATAAATAATTTGGGGGCCTAGAAGTGTAGTTCAGTGGTAGAGTGTTTGCCTGGCATGTGCAAGACCCTGGGTTTGATCCCCAGCTTAATAATAATAATAATAGGACTATTATTATTTATGTGTTAACAATAATAATATAATTACTATTATTCATGGGTGTGTTTAATGGGTAATTTTAATAATTGATAGCAACTAATAGCTGGGGCTTTCCTCTTTTTTTAAGTCTTAGTTTCTGCACAGGCTGAAGATATTTTTGATAGACAGCTCATGAAAGTGAGATTTTTTAATTGTGACCTTTTTTTGCAGTGCTGGAGATTGAACCCAGGGCCTCCTGCATGCTAGGCAGGTGCCCTACCACTGAGCTGCATCCCCAGCCCAGGTTCTAGATTGAATGTTAATGTTGTTGCTACTTAAAAATAACAAAGGCCAAAGATTCAGTGACTCAGCTTGAGACTTTCCACAGGAGTAGTGGACAGAGCAGCCTTAACTAAGTTAAGTCACAGGTCAGTGGTCACCCACTTTTCTTAAAATGCAAACAGCCTCTACAAGTTCAGTTTGATCTTGAATCCCACCCGGGGAAACACCAGGAAGCAGGGAAGTTGTTAACAGGGAGTCGGAAGCAAAGATCCACAGTGGGAGTGGGAAACTCACCGAGGGGAGCAGCCTCTCCTGCTCAGGTTGCTCTGTGTTAGAAAGCAGTGCAGGAGCCCCTTCCCAGCGCCCTGGGGGAAGGGGCTTTGGGTGCTGGCGGAGCCCACGCAGAGCTCTGGGTGTTCAGCAGCAGCATTCTGTCATGAGGAACGCTCCTCAAAAGCAAGCTTGGAGCAAAGGCGCAGCGAGGGATGAGGACTGTGGGAAGGGTCATGACTGCAGTCTCCTGCTGTTGGCGCTTTGTCTGCTGTGTCCACTCAGAGCTTTTCCTCTGCAGCATGTCTTGGTTTTCCTCTGAATTCCCTCTAACTGTGCCTTGGTTTCATTCTTCCTAGCTTGAGTGAGAGCTTTTTCATGGTGAAGGGAGCAGCCCTCTTCTTACAACAAGGAAGCAGCCCTCAAGGCCAACGGAGTCTTCAGCATCCTCACAAGCATGCAGGTGATGGCTCTATGTTGATGCTCTTTTTTTTTTTTTTTTTTTTAAAGACGAGAGAGAGAGAGAATTTTAATATTTATTTTTTTAGTTCTCGGCGGACACAACATCTTTGTTTGTATGTGGTGCTGAGGATCAAACCCGGGCCGCACGCATGCCAGGCAAGCGCGCTACCGCTTGAGCCACATCCCCAGCCCATATGTTGATGCTCTTTAGTTGGGAATTCTTACCAGGTACAATGGCGCATGCCTGTAATCCCAGTGACTCGGGAGGCTAAGGCATGAGGATCACAAGTTTGAGGCCAGCCTCATCAACTTAGTGAGAACTTGTCTCAAATAAATAATAAAGGCCTGGGAGTGTAGTTCAGTGGTACAGTGCCCTTGGGTTCAGTCCCCAGTACAAGAAGAAGAAAGGGAAAAAAAAGGAAAAATTGGGACTCTTTTTTCTGAGCATCAGAGGAACCTTCCGTAGGTGGTGGTGGGCAGTTTGCTGGTATCAAGGCCAGAGCAGTAGTGGAGCACAGGTTTGTAATGACTGGTGCAGGTGGAGGCTCGGGTGCTCTGGGGTGGCACAGGGGGCTCGTGGGTCTGTCTATGTGAGAAGTCAGGAGGTCGGCAGCTCTCTGTTGGGATGTAAGATTTCCTGGCCACAGTGGATCAGGTACCTGCAGATTTTAAGATACCGTATGACTTTCCAACAAATGCGCCAAAGTGCATTACAGCCAGATGGCCCCTTGAAAATAAGCCCCTGGGTGCTATGTAGCTGGACCGGGAAATGCTGTCAGTTCTCAAAGCGTTTGAAGACTCTTACTTGGGGAATTTAAGATTCTTTGGGTACTGAGGCAGGAATTGCAGCTTCGAGGCCAACCTGGGCAACTTAATGAGGTCCTGTCTCAAAATAAAAAATAAAAAGGGCTGGGGATGTGTCTCTGTGGTAGAGAGTCTCTATGTTCAATCTCAGCATCTCTCTCTCTCTCTCTCTCTCTCTCTCTCTCTCTCTCTCTCTCACACACACACACACACACACACACAGAGTCATCAGCTCTTGCCCTGAGAAGTCACTGTGGTGGGATTTTTTTTTTTCTATAATGGACAGTTTGGTTTTGGAAATGGATAAAAATAATAGAGCAGGGATCCAACTGAGTGTTAATGTAGGTCCAAAAGCAGACTACTAAGAAACACCTGCAAACTAACAGGGGACTTGAGTCTGAAACCAAAGGCAATCTGGAAAGAAACCAACACTGTGCTCTGTATGCACAGTGGTCTTGGTACCAAGGCCGAGCTCTGGGCCTGGCACGGTGTGTCTGTGAGCCGGAAGGGCCTGGCCTTTCAGGACAGCAGCAGGTGAAACACCTAGCAGCCAGGGCCCTTTCCTTGTCACTTGTCCCCATTTTGTTTGCTTAACCTCCGGCCRTCCAGCTTCATCTCTGAACATCTAAGGTTAGAATTTCATACCTTGGAAGTTCTAGCAAATGCTATGTTTCAGTCGGTCTTTTGTTTTAAGCTAAAAAAATAATTGTCCTGTGCGAGAAGGCAGTGTGCTTTGTGGAAAGAATATTTGCTTTGGAGCCAGACAGACTTGGCTTCTGAACCAAGTTCTGCAGCTCCCTGGGCAGTCACAGTCCACTTGTGAGTCTCAGTATTCTAATCTTTATAGTGGACATCAAATACTTGAGACAGTATGGAAATGGAGAATATGCATATAACACACCTGCCTTCTACCAGGATGATGTATGTAAACATGCAGTACAGACAATACAGACGGTCAGCTGGGCACAGTGGCACGCCTGTAGTCCCAGTTTAAGGCCAGCCTGGGCAACTTAGTGAGACCCTGTCTCAAAATGAAAAAGAGGGACTAGGGATATAGTGCAGTGGTTAAGCTCCCTTGGGTTCAATCCTTAGTACCAAAAGAAAAAAATTATATATGTGTGTGTATATAATTATAGCTACTCACACACACACACACACACACACCTATACACACCTACACCTGTATGTGCAGCTATAATCACTACAGGGACTCCTCGTACAGTTAAACTACAGAGCCATTATTCCTAAGTCTGCTAATTGTCCTGCCCTTTTAGGAGTGTGGCCACTGTTTCTGTCTTGACTGTGACGCGTATACTAGAAGAGGTGGTCTGGCCTTGCTCACCGAGGACAGCCGCTCCGTGCTGTGTGAGAGCTGCCTGTAGAGCCGGTACAGGCACCTCCTGACCACGCGAGGGCAGGGAGGCCAGGGAGGCCAGGACAGCTGGTTGGCTCTGTCCCCCGCAGGTCTGGAACGGAGAGTGAGCTAAGGCCAAAGAGGACTCTCAGCAGATGACCCCAGACGGGCCTAGACTGGACTTTACACTGGTTCCCTTTTCCCTGGTATCGAGTCCCCCAGGATGAACTGCCCTCCCTCGCCATCACCACGCAGAGCTGAGGACAGTTGAGGGTTAACCCCCCAGGGGAAAGCCACTCGCTATTCACTGGGTCCCAGCAGGCCAGGCCTTGGAGGCCCTGTCCAGAGCTGGTCTCCAGGCGGACAGCCTCTGGCGGGGATTCCTGTCTGTCAGCACTCTGCGCCCCAGCAAGCAGCCCTCCTGAGGAGTCTGTCTGTCCCACCATCCCCACCTCCACCCCCGTGGGCTGCGCTGCGCTTCCTTCCTCTGTAGTCTGACTGGGGGGAGGCAGGTGAGGAGCCAGCAGGGGGCTGTGTGGTATCTTGGCGTTGGAGGCAGGACGGGGTGCTGCTTCAGAGGAGGAAGGGGATGGGAGCTCCGTGTCCTCTTGATAGGACCCATATCTGCAGTCACTCCTTTTGGTCAGGAATGAGTGCCCGCGTGGGCTGTTGCACTRTGGAATCCTGTTACTGGAGAGAACAGATAAAAGTGGCAAATTTTTTAAAAATGTTATTTATTGTGAAAAGAACTCTTAACACGAGCACCGCCCTCCTGACTAGAGGGGCAGGTTTCTGATAACCTGACTCCTTGCTGAGACAGGAAGTGCCATGTAGACATCATCTGTCTTTCTGCCTTAAAGTAAAAAGATGCTTTTGCTAAAGGAAGAAATGTGACTTTTTTCCCTGGAGTGCTTGAGTCTGTAGACAGTGTTCATTCTCCCAGGGTTCTCAGGGTAGTCTTTAAGATAGGTGGTTTGCCGGGCACGGTGGCACAACCCTGTCATCCCAGCAGCTCAGGAGGCTGAGGCAGAAGGATCGCCAGTTCAAAGCCAGCCTCAGCAAAAGTGAGGTGCTCAGCAACTCAGTGAGACCCTGTCTCTAAATAAAATACAAAATAGGGCTGTGGGTGGGGCTCAGGGGTCGAGTGCCCCTGAGTTCAATCACCGGAACAAAAATATTAAAAAAATAATAAAATATTTGATTTTTAGCTGGGTATGGTGGTATACACCTGTGACTCAGGAGAATGAGGCAGGAGAATCATAGGTTTAAGGGCAGCCTCAGAAACTTAGTGAGACCCTATCTCAAAATAAAAAATTTAAAAGGGCTGGGGATCTAGCTCAGGGCTAAAGCACCTCTGAGTTCTCTCCTCAGTACCATAGATAGATAGATAGATAGATAGATAGATAGATAGATAGATAGGGTTTCCTCTCTTTGGTGATGGGACTCAAACCCTGGGCCTTTGTGAGTGTGAGGCAGGTGCTCTATAAGTACTGTGGCTCAGTTATAGAGCACTTTTAAAAATTCGAGGTAATTCAATTTCTTTGGCGTGAAATTGATACACACTTTTACGAGCTATTCCTTGCACCTTCTTCTAGATCAACATCTTTGCAGATGAATCTTTTCTTAAGAAAGAGCCCCGGGAGAGGTTTCAGGAGCCTGTGAGCTCTGAAGAAAGCAGCGGCAGAGTCACACCTGCTCCGTCCTCGTGGCACACCTCAGTTACAGGGTCCCTGCCACCTGTTGGACACTTCCTGCACCCTGCCCCGTCTAGGCAGAGTGTTGGCCCCTGGAGTCCCCAGGCAGAAGCATGGCTGAGGCCACCCTGCACAGCACAGTGAGACCCCGTCTCCAAAACAGATCTTCCCCTGGGTCACTGCCTGTCCCATGTAAGAAAGATAAAAGAGAGAGAGAAGATAATTTTTAGCAAGAAAAGGGAAAATGGCAGATGGTTGACTCTGTTATTTCCCTGAGCGSCCAACTTACAGCAGCTCCCAATAACCACGTAGACATTTCCCCTGGTAGAGAAATAATATCTGAGTGTTATGGAAAATGCAGAAGAGTTTGAAGAGGAATGATGGCACTCGGCTGTTTGGCTGTCCTGCAGCGTGACCCTGCCTGCCACTGCTGGTAGAAATACATTCTCTTTAGATTTGTCTGTATTTCCCAATTTTTCTATTAAAAGCACCCATGTTGCAAGCAGTTCAGAAAATAGAGCAGCATTAGCAACAGGATGGTGAGGGGCCAGTCACTCTAACATGCATGCACATCAGGCAGAGAGGAGGAGCTGTCAGGACAGAGCTCTTGGGAGGCTTCTCCTATCGTGTGGGTGGAGAGAGTTAACTTCTAAATCTTTCTCCAGGCCCCTAAAACCAGCCTTTTGAGGTTTCTTCCTGGAAAGCAGATGGGTGACCTTCTAAACTTTCTTGTTGGCCTGACAGGTGACCTGCCCCAGCACCTGCAAGTCATGATCAACCTCCTGCGCTGTGAGGACAGGATCAAGCTGGTAAGCAGGGTGGAGAGCGCAGGTCCTTATGTCCCACATTGTGACCACAGCCAAAGCCAAGGGGGCTGCGGTGCAGCTCAGGGGTGGAGGCTGTGTGAGCCCTAGGTTCAGTCCCCAGTGCCACCTGGAAAACAAACCYTAGAGGGGCCCGCAGAGGGCCACACCAGGGCTCCAGGGCAGCCTTGCCTAGAACCTTCTTCCCCTGGACATGCGCTCATTGCACATGTTCTGGATGTCCCCCCTGAGCCAGGACTGTCCCTGCTGCTCAGGAGACAAGTAGGACCTGGCTCCTGCCCTCAACAGTGGCACCCTTCCTTCTTCCTTCACGGGGGCGGGAGGTGCTCTAGCTGTGGTCTTGGGTGGGCAGGGGAGGGAGGTGCTCCTCCGGGAAAAGTCAGCGAGCAAGCGCCTCCCTGCCGGTACAGGCCGTGCGCCTGGAGAGCGCCTGGACGGACCGCGTGCGCTACATGGTGGTGGTGTACAGCAGCGGGCGCCAGGACACCGAGGAGAGTATCTTGCTGGGAGTCGACTTTTCCAGTAAGGAAAGGTGAGTCCCATGGGGAGGCGGTTCCGCCTGGGAGGGGGAGAGAGTTGCTGCTGGAACAAGGTTTCCAGGGAGGAGTGTGGGAGTCCTGGCAGAGGTCAGGGAGTGGCGAGGCCTGGGCTCTCGGGCGGTCAGATGCAGGCTGTGCTGTCCAGGGGCCGAGTGGGCTGAGGCACAGGAGACCTGCGCCGTGATGAGCGGCCATCAGGAGGAGCCACCTGAGCCGGGTTTGTTCAGCTCGCGGATTTAGAGGCTGGAAGTCCGTGAAGAGGCAGCTATTTGGCCTCTGGCGAGGGCCTCATGGCAGATGGCATCCCAGTGGTCAGAGCATGTGCAGAGGATCCCTCGAGAAAGACGCTGGAGGGATCTGCAGACAGAACAGGTTCCTCCCTCTGGGGGCGGAGCCACGACCCTCCCCTGGGCCCCGCCTCTTAAAGGTCCACCACCTCAACTCTGCCACCCTGGGACCAGCTTCCAGCACGTGACCCCTTCAGGAGAACTTCAAACTGTGTCCATGTCACAGCAGGAGCCACTTAGCCAGGAAGGAGGAACCTGCTGTGGTGAGCGTGGAAGGTGACCCATGGGAATGTGCGCTTGTGGCGTCTGTCCAGCTCTGGTGCAGCAGTGACAGGTCCTTGGTCAGCGGTTCTAAGAGAGGCTTGCAGTTTGGCTGAGTTACATCACGAACCCTGTTGTGCACGTGAGGSGGCTCCCCTGGCCTGTCGTCCTGCAGGGACAGGTGTGCGGGTCATTGCAACCCCGGATTCATAGAACCAGGTCAAAGCAACGCCATTCAGTGTCCACTAGTCTACCTGCCCATCAAGCACATAGTGAGTTTTGTGTTCTTGTGCGTGTGAGACCCGGCTGGGCCCCAGGGAGGCCACGAAGCAGCCACACGCAGCTCTTGGTATCACGGCACCACCCTCCAGGAGGGGAAGAGGCGCGATGGTGCAGATGCTTAGGCTTCCAAGGTGACATGGCAACTGTTAAGCCAGACCTTACAGGACCAGCGGGCAGCCATCGAGGTCGGCCAGCGAGGTCGGGGTGGGTGGGGCTGGAGGCCTGTCTGAGTTGTCACTGGCAGAGGCGGGGACACGGCAGTGAAGAGCCACAGGATGGTGCATCCTCGTCTTCTGAGCTGCTGCGAGTCCCAGGTTGGTTCCCAGACGCGGTTCCTTTGTTAGAGGTTGTGGATGGAAAAGGGGGAGCCCTCCTTCCGGTGCCTCAGGGCCTGATGGAAACACCTCCTGTGCATACTCTTGGGGAGCCGGCCTCGGTGGCCTCGTGCTGGTCAGGAAGTCTGGGTCTAGAAGATGTGCAGCTGCCGTCTGAGGAGGCGCGCTCTGAAGGGCCACTGAGGGCGTGGGGTGGTGTCAGATGCCACCAGGCAGGTGTCTCAGAGTGCTGCAGGCCTACCTTCCCAGGGGGCTGTGCAGGCTGTTCAGTGGTTAGAGAGCTGGACGTCTCCCCTGGGCAGGGGCTTCTCTCACTGCGTGTAGTCTGTCTAGTGACCCTTTCTGATCCTGAACAGGAAGTCTGCCTTCCATAGACCCTCCCCGTCATCTGGATCCTGACCAGGAGCTTCATAGGAACGCGGTCCTCCTCCTGGTCCTCTCTGTTGCTTGAGCTGGCCACCACAGTCCAGTTACCAGATGCCCCGGGAGCAGCCCCCGTGGTCCTTCGCCCTCCTGTGGAGTAGGCAGCCCTATTCACACCCCACAGATGAGGGGTCCGAACCCAAGAGACCACACGCATGTATGAGGGTCACCCCAGTGAGTGGCCCAGCTGGGCATCCGTTCGTCCTTGCACTGTGGACCTGCCGCGTGGAGGACCCCTCTCGTTATTCCCCGCCACGCGGGGCTCTCCACACACCACCCTGCTCGTCCATCACCTGCAGCTTGTCACCCAGGGACTTGTCAGTTCTATGTGCCAGATCTGCCAGGTGCYGGGGGCTGCGTCAGGGGGCACAGGACAACAACCCGTGCCCCCTCAGCCCAGGGTCATGGACGACATTCGGCTTGCACGCAGGACCCCCGTTTGTTCTTCCCACTCGGGATGCTGCCCAGGCCCTTCCCTTCGGACGTGTCCTGCCCGTCTGCGCCTTCTTCCCTTGCCCTCCTCCTGACGCCCTGGCTCGGGTTCTCTGTGGGGTCCCCTTTCCCTGGGACTGTGGCCCTCGTGCCAGCGTCTCCCTACCCTGTCTGGTCTCAGCTGCTGCCTCCTGTGGGCACCAGCCTCAAGGAGGAGCTGGCTTGTGGCTGGACAGGGGTGTGGAGAGACTGAAGGAGCAGGACTCAGGGAACTCTGGGCGTGTGGGGGTCTGGGAGCTGCTGCTCTGTGGCTCCCACACTGCCCAGGTGCCCGCTGTCCTCCCGTGCCCTGGCCTGCAGATCCCCAGTCCTCACCAGAAAGGCTTCCCCTGCTGAGGTCACGATTCTCCGGTTTTCCTAAATTCTTGCTGCGAGATTTTGTTTCCTTAGCCCAAAAGAGAGAAAGCAGAGCATCGCCTCCCGGGGACCTTCCTTGGTTCCTGGTGACAGGGTGTCCAGGCGAGTCATGTTAGAAAAAATCATGTGGAAACGATGGCTGGTGCGGCTGGCATTGTCCCCGGAGTCCTAGACCTGCTCATGCCTCCTTGGGAGGCCAGGTAGCCGCCCCAGGGATCCATGTCTGGTTAATTGTCATTTGAGATTCAGGAACTTCTTGAGAGCCACACTGCTGTCCTCCGTGCGTTAGTGTCTGCCACCTGTAAAGGTCTGGGGCAGGCCCTTCTCCTGCCGGTGCCTCCATCCTGTGCAGGCCCAGCTGGCTTCTCCGTTTCCACCACCTGGGCCCCAGGGTCTGGGAACCTGCTTTCTGGTAGAGTTGCCACCCCCCACTTGACCCTTCAGCACGTTCTTCCTCTAGGAAGACCCCTCCCCAGCTCCCATGTTATCCAATCCATACACCCACCTCTGCTACAGAGACTTGGTGTTGGTCACTGTGGGACCAGTGGAGGCACAGTGGCACCTACAGGGTGCTAGAGGAGTTGTGGGGCCGTACAGTCTTGAGGTCCCCTGTCTGTGCTCTGGGCTCTAGTTCAAGGCTGTGAACAGAAGTCCTCTGTGGAGCCTGCGCAGTGGCTTGGAGGCTGAGGCAGGAGGATGGTGAGTTCAAAGCCAGCCTCAGCAAAAACAAGGCCCTAAGCAACTAGGGAAACCCTGTCTCTAAATAAAATACAAAATAGGGCTGGGGATTCGGCTCAGTGCCGAGGGCCCCTGAGTTCAATCCACAATTACCTGCCCCCCCCAAAAAAAAACACAAGTCCTCTATGGACTCTGACTGCTGCCAGCTTCTTACCCTATCTGGGCCCAGGGGAGGACGGTTGAGGTGCCCCTTGTCCCATGCAGGCTGTGTGGGCTTCTGCCTGCCCTGGAGCCCCTCCTGGCCTGGGCTGTGTGTGGCTGTCTGTGCTGTGACCTCTGTTCTTTGCTAGTCCCTGGCTTGTGTGCTCAGTGCCAAGGCGTGCCCTTCCAGGCCTGCCCACCCCAGGGCACCGTCCGGGATGGCTGTGTATCGGCCCTTCCTGGCCCTGGTACAGCTGAGTATTAAGGACATATGGTGAGCCCATCGAGGTTGGGCAGGGCTGTGGGGGCAGAGTGGGGCTGTGGGGGGAGAATCGGCTCTGCCCAAAGGCACTTGAAGGCCTTGAACAGATGTGGAAGCAAGTGGTCAGGAGGAGGGGCCTGCAGGGTGGGGTGCTCTGGAGGGGGAACTGGCCTCGAGTCCCAGAGCCCCTGGTCCGGTGGAGTCAAGTTACTCCCCAAGGGGACTGTTGAGTGGCAGACGCATAAGTCCAGGATCCTGGTGGCTGGCAGGGCTGGCCCCTGGCACGGTCGCGGCCGTTTCGCACAAGCTGTTTTAAATGCCCCGAGAGTGTTCCTGGTGATCTGAGGAGCCCCTCTGATAAGCGTCTTCGGTCTGCTTTTCGGTGGCGCCAGTCGCTAAAGTTGACAAGTATCATTTCCCTGTTGGGATGGGCAAGACAAAACCAGATTCAGCCAGTTTGTAAGGTGGCAGCTGCACAAAGGGCGGTAAACAGAAGTCTGAAAGTTCATTAATAGTAAGGCGGGCACTCGCCCACTCCTGCCCCCCAGGACAGAGGAGGTTGGGGCTGGCTCTGCCACCTGTCCAGGGGCCCTGGTTGGACGTGGCCCTCTGCCAGCACCGTGCCAGCGTCGGTGGCTTCTCCGCTGCAGTGTGGGTGCAGACCAGTCGTCTGCTGCCCATACCCCTCACAAAAATGGTGCGGCCATTGGTGCTCCCCTAGCGGGGCCACCCAGACCCCTGTCTTCTAGAATCCAGTTGTAGAGGACTCTTCCCGGGCACAGAGGACTTCTTCCAAATACAGGCCCAGCAGCCCATCCCAATCGGGTGGTGGCTGTCTGGGAGCCGGACAGGCTGGGTAGAGGGACTGAGGGAACACTGGGCCAGTGCCTGGGTGGACACTGACTCCAGGTGTCTTCTCTCCCCTGATCTAGCAAAAGCTGCACCATTGGGATGGTCCTGCGGCTGTGGAGCGACACGAAGATCCACCTGGATGGAGACGGGTAAGGACCGCTCAGAAAGACCCTCTCCCTGTYGGCGCTGAGCCCGGCCGCCCGGCAGCCTGGGGTCGACCTTATTAGGAGGGTAGTGCTGGGGGCCGGGGAGCCCCAGGGGAGCGTGCGTTCTGGAGGTTCTCTGAGGGAGCTCGGGTCAGGAAGCAGTGGGAGCCTGCGGCAGGTCGGCTGGGTGACGCTCGGGAGCAGCCGCCTGCTGCCCCGCAGCCACTCCCCTTGGGCTCAATGCAGGGCCACCCTGACAGCTCCCAGAGGGGTGTGACACAGCTGGAGCCCCCGTCTTGGGGTGCCAGGAAGACACCTGCCAGTTTGGGGACTTCAGAGGAGGATGCCAGGGGCCTGGGCAGGTAGACAGAGCTGGAGGCTTCAGGCACCTTCTCTCCTGGGGCAGCGAGGGCTCGGCATGCGCGGACAGGAGGGAGGCGGGCGGCCACTCCTGCACATGGATTCTAGGCTGCTGAAGCGGCTCCCTGGAGAGGACTGGAAAGGACAGACATTCACTTAGTTGAAGTAGTGGGATCATAGGATACTTTTCCTTTTTAAAATTTTGTTTTCCATTAATATGTTTTCATGAAATTAAAAAAAATATCAAAGAGTGTGTGTGGTGCCAGAGGGAGCAGGTGGACAGGGTCAGTTATGGAGACCGATGACACCAGGCGCTGTCCTGGCCCCGCATGGTGATGCACTTTGAGTTTTGGAAGTGTCACCCTGCTGGGTGGGGAGCACCCCCTCCTGGCTTGCCTTTGGCTCACCTCGCACCACGCCCCGCGGTGCAGCGTGCTCCTCCCCAGTCCCTGGCTGCTCTGCCGCCGGCCGGCGGGGATCTGACCGCAGGGTCCGACCCTCCCCACAGCTGCCCTTCTCCTTGTTCTCGTCCTCAGTGGGTTCAGCGTGAGCACGGCAGGGAGGATGCACATATTCAAGCCCGTGTCTGTCCAGGCCATGTGGTAAGTGTCTTCAAGGACCCATCCCCTCGGCAGGGTGCTTCTAGCTGACACCACGAGCAGGAGACCCCCATTCAGCACACACCTGTGATCCCGGGAGGCTGAGTTCAAAGTTCAAAGCCAGCCTCAGCAAGAACTCAGCAAGACCCTGTCTCAAAAAATTAAAAAGGTTGGTCWTGAAGCTCAGTGGTTAAGTGCCCCTTGGTACCAAAAAAAAAAGAAAAGAAAAGAAGAATGAAAAACTCGTTCTGAGGAGCCTGTTGGGGAGGAGGAATGGCGAGGGTGGGCGGCGTCGCGGTATGTGATGTGCCTGTGAGGATCGCCACAGCGACACGTTGTTGGGATCACAGCCTGTATGACAGACGTCACTAGTAAAGCAATGAAAGAGAAGCCCTGCTCTCCAGGGCCTGAGCTGGGGTGTGCCATTGGAACCGTGTTTTAAGCGTATAATTCGGCGGCGTAAAGCCTCTTCTCGGAGCTTTGTGGCCGTCCCCACTGCCCGTCTCTGGCCTTGGTCCTCATCACAGAGGGAGCGCTGTGCTCGCTCCCCCTTCCCCAGGCCTGGCAGCCCCCATTCTTGTTGCCCCAGTGGGTTCGTCCTTTCTAGGAAATTCATAATCAGAATCATCAATGTCCCTCTGTGTCCCACTTGCACTTGGCGTGCTGTTTTTAGGATCATTCATGTTACCACGTCTGCAGAATTACGTTCTTTTTATAAGCTGAGTACTGTTCCCTGTGTGAAGGCTCTGGTGGTGTTCACGCAGCCAGCTCCTGCCCACAGAGGGTCGGTTCAGCTGCGTGACGGTTCCCATGAGGCCCTGCTTCCGTTCTTTTTGGTTTTGACCCAGAAGTGGAATTGCTGGGTCACGGGTTGCGTTGACTCTCTGGGAAAGCACCAGTTCTTCCCACGTGGCTGAGCCGCTCACGTTCCCATCAGCAGAGCGCAGAGTTCCCATTTCTGCATTTCCTTATCACCTCCTGTCATTTATTTACCTGTTTATTGAGTCAGGGTCTTCGGATATTGCCTAGCCTGGTCTTGAACTCCTGATCTTCCTGTCTCAGCCTCCTGGGGAACTGGGGTTATCAGTCATTTATCTTATTTTATTCTTTTAATTGGTTGTGTGGACGCATGTCTGTGTGGGGGGGAATTAAACCCAGGGCCTTACATGCTAGGCAGGTGCTTTACCACAGGGCTAAACCCTAATGCTTTCTGTTTTATTTTTGAGCCAGGGTCTTGCTAATGCCAATGCTGGCCTTGAGCTTAAAACCCTCCTGCCTCATTCTCCAGGTAGCTTGGGTTATAAGTCTACCACCAGGCCCATCTCACCAGTTTTTACATCTTATACTCACCGTCTTAGTAGCTGTGAGGTGGTACCTCGCTGTGGTTTTGGTTTGTCTCCTGAGGATTCTTGAGTATTTTTCATGAACTTATTTCCCATTGGATGTCCTCATTGGAGGACTATCTGTCCCAGTCCTTGGCCTAGGTTTTTCTATATTGTCATCTTGCCTCTCTGTATGGGCTCTTGGCAATAAAATGTCACCTGGCATCACTCCACTTAATCCCTGTGCCTGGCATGGAGTAGGTGCTCAGCGTGTGCAGTCGAGGAGCAGCACTTTGCTGGATGTGGAGCATGTGGTGGGAGTGGTCACAAGACTGACCTGTTGGGTTGGGGGCCACAGCACATGGACAAGTTACATGACACCTGGAGTGCTGGGCAGGTTCTCCCAGGTGTCGAGCCACTCCAGGGCCCAGGTCTGCGTGAGCCCAGGGCCTCCACGGACACACCGCTAGGGCTGAAGGTGGCACTGGGCTGCTAGGTGCCTTGGAACAGCTTGTTCTAGAGCCTTCCTCTCCGTTGGAGGGTCTCACTCCACAGGTGCAGCCTGCTCAGCCCAGCGCCTCTCTAAATGAGCTGGGAGAAGTTCAGGAGGGGCTAATGGCATCAGAGAGACGGTCTCTGCCCACGGTTCAGGATAACTGTGCTCTTCTCGGGCAGTGAGTTACGTAGAATTCTCCTGTGGGCCCCAGGTTAAGCACATGCCATGCCATGTGCTTTACCTCCTTTGTGACCACACCACAGTCGATTCAGGATCATTTTGGAGGGAAAAAATCATGAAATCGTAGTTCTGGTCAATAAACCAATACATGCCCCAGATGTCTCTGTGTGGCCCTAAGTAATTTACTCTCCAGGCAAATAAAAAATAGGCCCACGCAACTTTTCAAAAACCCTGGGACCAGAACTAAATTTAGTAACATTCAGCTCAGGTTGATCTCCTCAGCCAGCCTGGGGACAGTGGGCCAGATTGGGTGTCTTATACCCGAGACAGGGTCACTCTGGCAGTCCCCCTTCAGGGCCTCTGCCACCCTTTGCTGGTTCCTAACTCGCCCCACTGCGGAGGACCTTCGGTCTGGGCTCCTGGTGGACGAGGTGAACTGCACTGTCGGTGTCCCTGTTTCTGCCCCTCCGCCCCCCACACCTCCTCTTCCTCTGGCTTCCAGGTCCAAACRGCTGCTCCGCACCTGTCCTCCAGGAGTCTCCCTCTGAGTCATGGTCACATGGAGGGCGACCATGTGGGACGCAGCCAGATTTCCTTCCTGCGGTCAGGGCTCCTGTGGTCCCCACACTCAGGGTCACTGTGACTTCCGAGGTCACCTGTGATTCTGTGGTTAAGCAGTGGAACGTAAAGCAGCGTGTGGCCCGTGTGTTTGGGAGTCGGGAAGTTTGGGCTTGACTTTCGTCCTGTGGTGCTGGTGGAGCCAGGGCCCTGCACGTGCTCCACTGAGGCACCTCTCGCCCCTGGGTTTCTGTTCTGGTCTGTCTTTCCCTGCTTCTGGACAGTGAAGGACATTCCCCCACTGTGGGCTCAGGAGAGGTGAATGTGCAGAGGCTAGATCTGGGACCTAGCAGCTGTCCGTCTCCGGCTGCCACGTGTCACCCACAGGCCCTCATGTAAGCAGGACTCCAGGAGCTGAGTCCTCGTGAGCTGGCCACGCCTGCCAAGTGAGCCCTCCTGGAAAGGGAGTCCATGCTTCTCCTGGTGTCCTGACCCGGCCTTCTGCCCACCCAGGTCTGCCCTGCAGGTGCTCCACAAGGCCTGCGAGGTGGCCCGAAGACACAACTACTTCCCAGGGGGTGTGGCGCTCATCTGGGCCACCTACTACGAGAGCTGCATCAGCTCCGAGCAGAGCTGCATCAACGAGTGGAACGCCATGCAGGACCTGGAGTCCACGCGGCCCGACTCCCCAGCCCTGTTTGTGGACAAGTATGTGCGGCACCTGCCCAAGCACCTCCCTGCAGCCCTGGGCCAAGCGTTCCCTTCCCAGAACCAGCTTCTAAAATGGGGCTTCTAGGACCCGTGCATTTTGGTGCAGCCTGTCATCCCAGCAGCTCGGGGGGCTGAGGCAGGAGGATGGCGAGTTCAAAGCCAGCCTCAGCAATAGCGAGGGCTAAGCAACTCAGTGAGACCCTGACTCTAAATAAAATACAAAATAAGGCTGGGGTGTGGCTCAGCGGTTGAGGGCCCCTGAGTTCAATCCCCAGTACCAAAAAAACAAAACAGCTTCTAAACTGGGACCCCAGGAAGCCTGGCTTTGGGGAGAGTTTGTGACACACCTTAAAAATCAGACGAATTTGGGGAGTGTACTTCTGGGGAACGAGACCTTGTTTCCATCAAACCCCCAAGGGAATGAGCTGCCCCGCTCACCTCTCCTGGGTGATGCTCTGCGCCTGGGCCTTTCCTCTGTCGGTTGCAGTTCCTTAAGTCCCGGAAGCCACTTCCTCTGCTCCAGGAGAGTCATGAATGTGACCCCTGCTTCCCTGGGTCCTTCTGTCCCGAGGGCAGCACCCATTCGCAGCAGGGACAGTGAAGCACGTGGCCTTCGTGTGGCCGCCGGTGCACCACTGGGCCTGAGGCCATGCTCTTTAGAGTCTGATTTGAGAGGGGAGCTGTTCCCTCCTGGGTCAGGGCCCACTCCCCTGCGTGTTGTGTCCCTGGGACGCTGCATTCTGAGGACTGTGTACAGAGCAGAGTGGCCCAGACGACTGGAGGCCACGAGGAAGTGGAGGAGACGGGGAGAAGGATCGTAGCTTAGGGATTTCTCAGGGCCTCCTGGGAAGAAGGGTCACCCTGGCTCATGTGGCCCAAGAGCTGTTCGTGCTAGGCTGGGCTGTGGCGGAGGCTGGGCTGGGAGGCCTGGACCTTCACTGTGAGGAGGAGGTGAGGAGCAGGGCCGCCGAGGCCGCCCACCCCCTGTGGCCAGGCAGAGGCAGAGACGCAGTGGTGTGGGACTGCTCCCCTGGCAGGTCCAGAGTCCTGCTCTGAGAGTCTGTGACCCCGACGCGGGGCCCGAGTGAGTGGGTTTCCAACCCTCCCGATGTGCTGTCCGGGCGGTGCCAGTGCCTCTGTGACCCGAGAACAGGCACACGCAGAGCCGACCCCGCTAGTCCCTGCCGCAGCTGCTGTTCCTGCGACCTGGGACCTGAGCCRCGCACCTTCCTAAACGGCATTTCTCTCCAGGCCGACTGAAGGGGAGAGGACGGAGCGCCTCATCAAAGCCAAGCTGCGGAGCATCATGATGAGCCAGGATCTCGAAAACGTCACCTCCAAGGAAGTAAGAGCCCTCTTCCCAGAGCTCCTTCCCCGGCCGGGGGYGGGCAGCGGCAGCAGGCCAGGACCTGTCCCCAGACACACTCCCCTCAGCCTCCTTCTGCCCTGGAAGCAGGGCTCAGTGGGAGGTCACAGGCCTGGGTCAAACTAGTGTGAGGGCAGGGCCACCATTTACTGGCTGTGGGGCGTGGACATGTTTCTGGAGTCCCCGGAGCCTTGCCTGTGTCGCCTTTGGTCACGATTCCATGAGGTGCTTGGTTTGCACCCGGAGCGTGTAGCTTAGGCCCTCTCCCTCTCCGCCCCCACTGCCCTGTGTTGTACGTGAGACCAGCTGACTTCTTCCTGCTCGGGATCACAGCCGACCAGCAAGGTGTCTTCTGTCTGCCTTTTAATCTTTTCCTGGATCACTTTTAAAATTTTGTCGGTTGCTTTTTACCTGTTGTTCAAGGAATGCAATGAATTATGGTAACAGCTTAAACTAGGTATTTTCTTTCTTCTTTTTTTTAGTACTAGGAATTGAATCCCATGTGTTAGGCAAGCACTCTACCACTGAGCTACAGCCGTAGCCCCCTTTTTAAATTCTTAATTTTGACATGGAATCTTGCTGAATTGCCCAGCCTGGCCTCAAACTTGCAATCCTACTCCCTCAGCCTCCCAAATCACTGGGATTACAGGTGTGCACCATTGTACCTGGCTCAGTTAGTATGTTTTCAAAAATCGTGTGGTGATGCCTTCCCAAGCAAGAAGAAACTGACTTTAGGTTCTCATTAAGATGTGTTTTGTGGGGCTGGGGATGTGGCTCAGCGGTAGCGCTCGCCTGGCATGCGTGCGGCCCGGGTTCGATCCTCAGCACCACATACCAACAAAGATGTTGTGTCCGCCGAGAACTAAAAATAAAAATATTTAAAAATTCTCTCTCTCTCTCTCTCTCTCTCCTCTCTCACTCTCTCTTTAAAAAAAAAAAAGATGTGTTTTGTTATTTAATTGTTAAAGTATAAGTAGTTGGCCAGGCACGGTGGTGCACGCCTGTAATCCCAGTGCCTCAGGAGGCTGAGGCAGGAGGATCGAGAATTCAAAGCCAGCCTCAGCAACTTAGCAAGGCTCTAAGCAACTCAGCAAGACCCTGTCTCTAAATAAAATATAAAAAAGGGCTGGGGATGTGGTTTAGTGGTTAAGCACCCCAGGTTCAATCTCTGGTACAAAAAAAAAAAAAGCAAGTGCTTCAAACTCAGAAAAGATCCCTTGGAAATCACATTCCTCATTCAAAATAATAAACGCCCCCAGTAGGGTTTACCTGGAGGCTGGGCGATCCACATCCCTCCTGCCACACCTGGGTGCCGTGGATGCCTTCCTCTGGACACAAAAAAGAAAAATGCAACCTTTTTGAAAACTGCTTCAGTTTGTTTAAATTAATCACGTTTAAAGCTAATTATGACTTAATTGTTTGGAGGTGGGCAACGTTTTTCTTTGGTTTTTTTTTCTTTTTTTTAACAAATCACTTTTCCTGACGTTCCCACGCCACAGATCCGTAATGAGCTGGAGAAACAGATGAACTGCAACCTGAAAGAGTTCAAGGAGTTCATAGACAACGAGATGCTGCTCATCCTGGGGCAGATGGACAAGCCCTCCCTCATCTTTGACCACCTTTATCTCGTAAGAGGCACAGCCGTGGCAGTATCTGTCTGGGGTCATAAGGCAGACCTCCTGGTCTGGCGCTCGCAGCAGGTCGGAGGGAGGAGGCAGGCAGGGTGCCCGCTCAGGCAGCCCCACCCTGGCCCGGACCCCCTTGCCCAGCTGCAGCCTGTGGTCTGCCCTGCCGGGTGTCTGAGAAGTGGCTCAGCTGAGCTGCGGGGACTGGTCTGGGCATACCTGGCAGTCACCTGGCGAGTGTCTTCAGACCCTCAGGGCCCTCTGTCTTCAGTCACTAACACACAGGCCCCACCCAGATACCCTCGAATGGTTCATGGGCCATGAAAACCCAGCTGGTGGTGGGCACGTGCCCACTGAGCATCCCCAGCGGGGCAGGATGGTGCTGACGGCTCCTCCGCTGCCCTGCCCGCAGCCCGTCAGGAGAGTCGCCTGGTCACAGAGGCTCTGCACACAGTGTGCAGACTCCCCACCCCTCTGGCCCCTGCTCCCGGGTCCCCACGCCGTGAGTCTCCAGAGAAGGCAGCTGGCCAGTGCTCAGCGTCGGGGACTCTGGAGGATGGCCTTGCTAAAATCAGACGGGACACCGAGGTGGAATTCGAGTTGGCCCAGAGGGCCGGGTCCCCTCCTGCCTCACCTGCTCTGTGACCTGGAGCGAGTCTCTTTTCCCTCTTTTTCTGCATCCTTCATGATTGTGAGGATTCAGTAAGATGCCTGTTGAAGGCACTGAGCGCGTTCCCTTGGACACTGTTGTACACAGCCATGAGTTGAGGAGAAGCGCTCCCGGGAGGCCAAGGGGGCGTCCTGCTGCAGACGCAGTGGCTGCTCCCCGCCTGCAGGAGTTGCCCGAGCTCTGTGTCTGTCAGGATAGCTGCACAGGTGGAGAAGGTGCGGTGCTCACAGGACTCACCCTCCTGTGCCGGCGGGCTTCCTATTTGTGTGTTTGGACAAGTGACAGGTGACAAGGGGGCTCTGCCTGGGAATGTCCAAGGGAACGCAGGGCCCTGACCCTGTCCTGGTGAAACTGACCTGGGCCACTCCCCCTGTGTCTCCACAGGTGGTGGTCACAGCTAGGGGGTGCTCATGGTCTTCTCAGAGCCGTGGTTATTTTTTCCGTGTGGTTTGGTACTTTATGTCACTTTTTCCATGAGAGATATTAAAGGAATTTTTATGGTTGAGACTCCGTCAAATACCAGAGTGCAGCCGCCCCACACCCGGCCAGCCGGGCCCCACCCTGGAGGGCCGACCAGGAGCTCAGGACAGGGGCATCAAGGAGACTGAGCCCTGGGTGCCTCTGCCCTCTGAGACTCTGCATCCTCCAAGTCACCTAAGAACAAAGTGGTCATTTTTGCTTTTATTCCCTTTCATGTTATTTGTGTGTCACAGGGTTCATTTTTGAACGATGGCATTTTTAAAGTATTAAAAAGAATTAAATGAACACATGTTGTAGAAAGTTGGAAAAATAAATCCGTCTAAAGAAGAAACAAGCACTCCTACACCAGAGCTGCTCTCTGAGCAGTCTGCGTCCACTTCCCGTCCTCTGTGTTTGGGGCGCCTGTCTGGGGGTTTTTGGGCTGGGCCTCTTTCACATCTCCCAGCGTTTCAAACACGAGGAGGGAAATGGTGGCGCGGTCGATGTGCCCCTGTGCCCTGCTTTCCTTGGTATTTTTTGTTTTCCTCACATGGTATTTCCCTGGACCGATGAACAGCCTCCAAAAGGCCGCTCGTCTAGAGGGCCCTGTTGTAAGGAGATCACTGTTCTGTCGGCCTCTTCCTGTTGGACCTGTGGGCTGTTTCCACTGTTCCGTCCTCGTCCGTCTCTGAGTTGTGACCGTTTCCTCCTTAGGTGGAATTACTGGGTCACAGGATAGGAACGTCCAAACTATTGCCAGAATGCTTCCCAGAGAAGGGACACAATGCCTACTGTCCTTAGTGGTGAGGAGGTCACGGTCCCGGCCTCCGTGACAGGGCCCCACCATCTTCCCCGGGAAGGAAGCAGTTTCCCGGACTCGCTCTCTCCCCAAGGCCAAGGGCCACACTCCCCCTCCCTGTCACCTCTTGATCTGTGAGGGCCTTGGGAACCCACGGGGGGGGGGGGGGGGGGGTAATGAGCCTCGTCCTCTGGTCTCTGAGGCCGGCAGACCCACCGTCCAGGGTTGGGCACCTGCGCCTCCCGCAAGCAGCTCCGGGGCTACCTGCGACACTCACGGGGTTTGTGTGATCTGTCCCCCAGGGCTCTGAATGGAATGCGTCCAATCTGGAGGAGCTGCAGGGCTCAGGGTGAGTCTGCTCCGCTTGTCTTCCCCGTCCTTCCAGGCAGCTTGGGACGCCCGCCTCTATTGCCGAGGTGGCCTGGCTCCCCTCTAATTGCCTGCACCCTGGTCTCTGAACTGGCTGGAGGGGCTGATTTGCATAGCTAAACAGATGTGCTTCAAAATGCCATGTTCTGAATAATTCATGGATCTGAGATCTTGTGGAGTCTGTGATTGTGTGGGTCACGAGCAGCCTCCTCAATCACACCCCGGTGGCACGTCCGAGAGCCTAGACCCGACAGGCCCTGGACTCCCGCTGCTCCTTACATGGCCTCACATCTCTGTGGGCTGTCGGGCCACTCAGCAGCCCTGACACCTGGCCCATTCATGGTTCTGTTGGAGGTTACACCTCTGGGCCTGGTGGGAATCTTGCAGCTCAGCAGCCAGGGTCTCTGAGAATGCTCAGCAATGAGAGTGAAAAATGTTTAAACCTAGGCCTTCAAGAACAGATGTCTGCACTTTAAAAAAAAAAAAAAAAAAAAAGCACAGCCACAAAATCACCATTCTCTGGGTCTGACATGATGGCATTCTTAAATTACCACATTTGAAAACCAAGACTAAACAAATCTTAAAGTATATCTTTAGAACTACTGGTTAAGATGGGTTCTTTCAACAGAGTATTCTTCAAATGTGGCCTGGGACTCTGTATGCTTCTGTCTTGCTGGGAATCAATAGATGACTCTTAAAGCTCTTCAAATGCATGATACGTATTCACTTAGGAAACTGATTTGTGATGTTTTCTAACTCCCGAAACTATTTTGGTCTTCTATAAGTGAAAATACTGATTAGGTTAGAGAACTACAGAATCTGGGTCAGCAGACTCCTCATTCTTATTTATTTATATCTTGCCTTGTTTCAAARGGCTTTAAGACTGTTCCCAAGAACTTAAATAATGGTTGGTTTTATTCTGCTTTTTAACTATTTAAGAGTGTAGATTGTTGGGAGATTGTTTTTTTAATACCACTGTATACCACTGATAGTTATAAATCTTGAAAATTTAAGGAATTTAGAAATGTATTTAAGAGACATGTTTACTTTCCATAGTTAAGATTGCTAAGCAATGCTTCAAACTGAGTTTCCTTTTTTATAAGACCTTTCTAATCAAGGTACTTTTTGGTTTTGTGTGTATATGTATAATACAATCTCATTTTGTACAGGAAATACAAAAAAAAAAAAATTCCCAGTGCTGGTGATTGAACACAAGGCACCCTACCACTGAGCTATACCCCGACCCTTTTCTATTTTGAGACAGGGTCTCACTGAGTTGCCCAGGCTGGCCTTGAACTTGCTGTCCTCCTGCCTCAGCCTCCTGAATCTTGGGGATTGCAGGCAAGTGCCAGTGCACCTGACAGAAATTCAATATCAAGGAAAAGCAGATGTCCCACCAGGAGCATGTGCCTCATGTGTATTTCTTTTTTTTTTTTTTTTTTT